AAAAAAAATCCTAAGAAAATCATCCAATAATGGGTGAAAATGCCCTTACAATACTACTTATAATGGTAAAAACTAGAAATTCCATAGTCACTCCCATTATGGGACTTACTAAATTCCGAGAAGGGAAATCAAGTGGAATGCGTTGTTGCTTTGTAACCATTCATTCCATCACTCCCTTATTATGTTTTCAGTGGCCCTTGTAGGCCTTTGCTGCTCATGTTCAGGGTTTTAAGCAAAGAATGGTGGTGACAAGGAACAGAGGTGAGAAATGAAAGTGGGGCCATCTGGCTGGAGTCTAAGAAAAGGAGAGAAGAGTTAAGAATTTCTGGTGTGATCAACTAACTGAGCTTCTACTCAACTAGAGATCCTGCTGTGGTTTGTAAGGATTTCTGGGTCATACACTAAAGGCGTGGTGCCTTTTAGACATCTGAGAGGAAGTGTCCAGGAGGTGAGTACATGTGGTCCTGGATTCCGAAGCCCTGCCCTGTGGAACAGATTTGGTGGAGACAAGCTGAGTGACGTGATGGGACCAGAGGAGAGCGCCCCAAAAGGAAAGCTAGTGAGAGCTGTAGGGAATGTTAATATCAAAAGATTGGAGGAAGAGGAGCAGAGAGGTGGGAAGGAAGCCAAAGTAAGAACGTCAGCAGCCACAGTGTGCTCGAGGAGGAGGAAGGCCGGGATTCCTGGTGATGGACGGAGATTGTCAACTGATAGAGACCCTTCCACACATACAAATGTGACCTTGTGAAACATGCTGTGCTTTAAATACAAAAGTATTGAAACAAAGGGGATTTTTGCTAAACTTTTGAGACCTGTCTGTTAAGCATTATAGTCACAAGGAATTAGATAGCATCCATCGAGTGTGTATTATGGTAAACATGGGGCTGGTGCTTTGTACCTTTCATCTCATTGAATCATCATCATAACCCTGCTGAGTCTGTGGCATTATTTTCATTTCACACAAAAGAACACTGAACTAAGCCTTTAAACCTCGGAGAGGAAAAATAATTTGCCTACAGGATACACCTGACAAACAGAGGAACCAGCGTTCAAACTTGGGGCTGTCCTGCTCCACACCCCCAAGGTTTTCCCTCTGAAATTAAAGTAACTTAAATTATTTTAACTCCCCCCTCCCTAGTAGTATTCATGTGTTCTCAGTTTCAGACACTGGGTAAGGTTGATACGGCAACTTTCAGTAGCATTGTTTACTTTCTCTGCTATTCATTTAACACAAATTTCAATAAAGTAATAGAATTTAGGATTCTCAGAGTAGGTGCTTGGCTCTTCATGTCAGAATACACACATCAAACATGCATGTGCTATATTTCTTGAGTGTGTATGTGTGCATGCACCCAGGAGCACATGTAGGTTCTAGGGCCTAAAACTTCTAAGACTTCTCCCAGGGCCTATGTAAGTGAAGGCTCACCAGCTGCAAAGCAGAGCCACCTCTGTACCTCGTGGGTGTTGTACATCACGTGTGCGTGTGCTTGCAGATAGATGGAGGAACCAACAAAAGCTATTGTCCCTTGACCAACGGACCTGGGTTCCATTGCTCAGTGCAATAGAAGCACGAGTTAATACTACTTATTTCTGTTCTGGAAAATGGAGACGACTTATCAAGAGCTAAATGGGCTGAAAAATTTTTAAGTACTTTTTGAATTTAAGCCAGTGGTCATTTGCTAAGTTAGATGTATAACTGTGCTGTGGCTCACAGTCTTTGCTTTGAGTAGACAAATACATGTAATTTATTTTTAAATATCTTCTGTATTCCAGAGATCCTTTGTTAATACTACTTTTTAAATGTGACATCCCGTCTCTATGGGGATTTGAAGAATGTGTTGATAGGACAGGATGAGTGGTGGCAAAGCTATGTGACAATGGACAGGAGAGCAAAGGGGCTGCCTTCACTTCTTTAGAAATCTGTTGCAGATGAGACACAGGTTTTGTGTATTCCAAAGGCTGAGACTAACAACTGAGGTGCAGAGATTCCGGGACAGCCAGATTCCAACTCAATGGAGACGTCTACCAACTAGAGCTGTTCTAAACTGGTTTGCTTATGCTGTGGCTGGCTGCCCATCACAGGATGTACTCCACCAAAGCCATTCCTTGAGCTGGGCATGGTGACACAAGCCTGTAATTCCAACACTTAGGAGGCTGAGGCAGGAGGATCACTGGGAGTTCAAGGCCACCCTGAACTACATAGTGAGTTAAGGCCAGTCTGAATTACAAAGGACTCTGTCTCAAAAGAAAAAAAGCCACTCCTTGGCAGAGGAAGGGGAGCTGGGAGACTCATAGCAAGCAGAAGATTGAGTCAATCTAAGAAACCTCTAGAATCCTCTCTAGGTCCAGGATTCCAAGTGGGTATAGTCAGATACTATTACCACCAGGCACACACGCTCTGCGCACACAGAATTGCTGCCTGCATGTGGCAGTCACATCAGCATCAGTGTGGGCCTCGCCCATCCCCGGTCAGGATGCCCAGGACTGGGAGCATGGCTTCAGTTTGCCTTCTTTCCCCTTCTTAGCCGGGGCTGTGAAACTGAGGGTGACCCAGACACTTGCCTGCTGCCTGTGAGCTCTGCTGAGGCCTCACACACCTCAGTGATACCAGGAATGCAGTCTGAGTGGTAAGGGAGTGGGGGACAGCTGTCACTCCTGTGACCTGAGCTTTGATGTTTCCTGGCTCTGTGCCGAACTCGTTCTCATGGCCCGGATCACCTCACTGAATCCACACAAGAATCCTGCAGAGGAGACACTGTTCACATCTCCTCTTTCCAGGTGAGGGAGCACAGGCCTGGGGCAGCTGAGAGAAATGCCTCAGGAGCATTGCCTGACTCCAGAGTGCACTCAGAAGTGTGGCCTCCCTGCCCGTGTGCACGCAGTCACAGGAGCACCAGAGAGGGTGGCTTCGTCCCCTCTGGCCTGTGACCAGCGACCTTCTCCAGCCCCAGCACAGGCAACACGTACTCCAGCCCTGTTCCCTCTCAGGTGGCCATCCCTGAACCCTCACTGCAGGTGGCGAGGGAGCTGCCGGGCTTGGCAAGGTGACCGGTACCTGGGCTGCAGAGTCTGCAGTCTACACCCCACACACATCTCCCACCAAGCTGCGTGCCGATGGACACCCTCATGGACACTAAGTGCGCATTTCCTGGCCTCCCCTTAAACGGATAGGCTAATTATGGACCCTTTTTGTGTGTGTCTGATAGTAATCATCAAGAACATAAGTTTAAATGTTTTCATTTTCTATTATTCGTACTACCGAAATAAAACATTGAACAAACCTCAGGATCAAACCCAGTGAGTGTGAGGCCATGTAAATTAGGAAAAGTTCAGGAAAAAAAAAAGTGTTGATTAGGGACTTATTTTTGTATGAGATTAAAATATGAATCATTAAAATAGGACTGTATTTCAAGCTCCGCATCCCCATCTCATGAGAGCTATCACCATGACTACTAGATTTGGAGTCTGTGAGTGCCAGAGCCCTTCCCAGCACTCAGACTCATCACTGGGCTGGGTTCTGCCTTATCCAAGACATTTCCAGGTGTGGTCAGAAGACCTCTGTGTCTTCTTGCTCACTGCCCCTTTTAAAGAGATATCTCCGCACATGGCACCTGCTCTTTGAAGTCTTTTCCGTCAGCAGTAGTAAGTAGTTGGCAGTAAGTTACATTAATGGCATCCACAATTCTAAGGTGGAGGAAGGAACAAAGAGCTCCTGAGGTTCCCTGGGGACTCACTTGGAACGAGGTCGCCAATAGCCACAGAACTTTATTTGGGTACAAAGAGTCAAGAATTGGAGGTTTGGAGAAAGGAAGAAATTAATATGGAACATTTCTCAAGTTCATGCTGAGTTCGGAGCAAAAAATAATGCAGCAATATCTGTAGCCCAAAATATGCAGCTAAATAAAGTTGTTAATTAAAGTAAAGTATCTGTTAAAAATGGCTAAAATTAGAGACAAAGACCCAGTATTTGGTACAATTGTTGACTGCACATCCCCCTGTAGGGAAGGGCTCAGGGGGACAGTCAGCGGCCTGTGGTGTTTTAAAGATTAATTACTCACCCGTACAGGGTTTTGAAGAACCCACCTGCATTGTGAAGTTGGATCTCAGCCGAAGGGGTGGAACTAGATCATGGGGGATTGGGGGGCTACTCAGCGGACACCTCAATACCAAGCATGAGAGAACAGCCCCCACCATCCTCTGCTGGTGACTGATATCTCAAGATGATTTTCTAGATCACCTAGGACCTGAGAGCAATGAATGTTACATATTTTTTAAGGAGGGAAGCATCCCAGAATGTTCCCTAGAGCATTGTGACTAGTTAGCACCTCTGACGGGATTTGTGAAGTTTTTTCACTATTTTCCTGTTCCTGTCTGGAGTTAGGGTGGGTTAAAAGGGCATACTTTTCCCTGTAGGGAAGACTTCTGTGGGTTGTCATTGGAACAGTAAAGACTTTTCCATTAAAGTTTTCTTTGAATAATCTGAAGTGCAAGAACAGATAGATGTAAAAAGAGTATTTTCAGAAAAATCATCGGAATAAGTTGGAACAATGTAGGTCTCCCCTAAAGCCTGGGATATTCATTTGATGAAGTATCATTTTACAGCTACTAAAGCAGTTCAGCAGTGTGGGGACATCACTGAAACCTGACATAGAGGGGAAGCAGTAGACACTAAACAATTCCAGCTGTATGACTCTAGATAGTATTAGTAAGGCTTTTCTCTGAGTGATGGGGTTATAGGTGGTTTCCTTTGCTTTCTGGTTTTGCACATTTTTTTTTTAACTTGTGTATTACTGTTATAGTCAAAAAGTCTGATTCAAACAATCACGTGGCTCTGACGTTTTGAGTTTCGTGTGCTGTGTCCTGTCCCTGTGAGTCCATGAGGACTGCAAGCCGTCTTGTTCACCATTGTAGCCCTGCTGCGGTACCAGCCGCAGAGCTCAGCTCCATCCACGAGGGCAAATGGTGTTCCATCGCTACTTCTCGTTCCTTTTTCTTCCCAGGTGATGTGCTCTATGAACTCCTTCAGCATATTCTGAAGCAGAGGAAACCTCGGATCCTTTTCTCACCATTCTTCCACCCTGGAAACTCTATTCACACACAGCCGGAGGTCCTCCTGCATCAGAACCACGAAGAAGGTACTAGACAAGACTTCTCTTTCCATGCCTGAGGCTTAGACAAACCCAAGGGTTTTAACTGTTAACGTGACAGGCTGCTCTTATTCATGTGAATTCATTTTTCACTCAACAGACATTTATTGAGTACCTACCGTGTTCCAGTCAGTAGGGGAAATGCCTAGACGAATAAGATGCATACTCTTCCTTTCTGAAGTTCACAGCCTAAGTAAAGCATGAGGGAGATATGCACATAAGTATGAAAGCTTAATTAGTTCGCACCTGAGAGGTATAGTGGAGGGGAGGCTACAACCAGGCACTTCAGGAGTTGTCCTAACGGTTGGGTCTCTGAAGGATTCCTTGATGATTGTCCAGCAGTATTCTGACCAGCAGTGAAGTGGACAACATCCCAGACACAGGAAATGACTTATGAGTGGGGTCGGCCCTTGGAATAGAGAGCAGTTAGATCACATGGGGTTTAGACCTTAACCCCCCTTCCATTGTGATCAGCGCCAATGTGCATGTTCCAGATGGAGAGAAGGAAATAAACCCCCAGGAGCCTTCCCCTGCTTCAGGAGTGATGTGAATTTTGCCACTGAGCTGGGCCGGGGAGGGGGGGCGCTGCTGCCTGGAAGCAGAGCGTGGGGAACTGTTTCTCAGCTGCAGAAGAAAGTGAGAGCAGTCACTGAAGAACCTTGAGCAGGAGGTGATGAAACCCAGGGGTGGGACATGGGACCCAGTGAATGTGGTGTTGGTCAGGGCTTTCTTCACCTGCACCCAAGGAGGTGTGTGGAGGCACTCCGGGGCACGGCTTCTCCAGATCCCCTGTGGCTCCTCCTCTTGGGATTCACAGGAGTCATGGAAGCAAAACCAGAACTGAAGTGTGGCCCCTGAATATAGCTCTAGAGCAGGTGATTGGGTACAGAAATGGCCATAAAAATGTCCTTTGAGCTCAGCTGCGCATCGAGCAGCATTCGGTGTGGAATCACACCTCTGAGGGCCATGGTGTCCACATCCTCCTGCCCAGTTGATCAGATAATGAATATGTGAACATGAGTGATACTTTTTCACACGTACTTTCCTTAGGTCCAGACTACTAGGGGCTTGGGTGCCCCATCTCATGCAGAATTGCCTTACATTGATCCACTGTCCCCAGAAGGTAGGGCTAATTGTTTTTGTCAGCCAATTAAAAAATAAGTTTTACGTTTTAATAAAGATGCCACAGGAGAGAACCTGACTCCAGGCGACCCGTGTCACCTGGATCACCTTGCTTTCATGATGGGAATAATGAGCGAGCATTTCTGGCTTGCTCCCTGCCTCTCTCTCTCTCCCATTCTTTCCTCCCCTGGCTTTACTGGCAGAATTTAGCATCTGATCTCCTCCCTCAACTCGCTTTTTATATTCTTCCACTCTTCCTGCTGTGTTCATTTCTGCCTTGCATAATATCCACCAGCCACTCCAAAAAAGAGGAGGTGAGTTTACGGAAGCCTGATATGAAGGCAAGAATTATACCCTGGCCTGCTTCTTCAGATACAGAATATGTGATAAGTGCCCCCTTCTTATTATTTAAGAAAATTCCATTTGGAATTTCTAGCCCCATTTTAGTCCCAAACTTGATGGCAGGTGTATTGGCTCACCTCATCACAGTTCCTTCTTCCTTTCTCCTGGCCTGATTTGACCTCTCAGTAGGCGTATGTGTTAGTCTTGTTTGCACGCTGGTAAGCTGGAGCTCATCAGTAGAAAAAGCTGCCCTATTCTGAGAGCTACTCTCAGACCAATAAGGACAGATGTGCACTCACACACGCTGTAATGCGTGGTGCTCTCAAGTGTTAGGATGTCAGGTGAGCTCAGTAGGTAAGAGAATGGAGCTAACGAGGCCAAAGTCGGAGGCTTCATTGCTCTGCAGACCAGGTGGCTCTGCTTCAGACCTGGCCCTTAAAAGTACGCAGTGTGCGCCTGGAGACCATTCCTTAAAGCTGGTAGCCAGGAAGCAAGATCTGAGAGCACCTGCCCTGCCCTTTCATCTGTTCAGCCACGGTGTGTGCTGTCAGAGAACAGGTGGACATAGCTGTGAGCTGAAGAGGCTGCTCACAGCGTGCCCAGACTTTCAGATCTGTGGGTGCCTTTGATAAAAGAGGACAAGCAAGAGGTGACTGCATCAGTACAGGCTCCCCACTCCTAGCCTCTTTCCTTTCTCCTCCAAAAGGAAAAAGAACACCACATGGATTGTCTCGAGAATCGATGCTGATGTATTTGATTGTGACGGTAACAGATGATGGATGTGAAAGATCTGGTTCTAAAAAGCCTGTAAGGAGAAATTATACATCTCAGATATTCCTGGATTTATTTTACATAATTAAGGATACATATAAAAATATGCTGGCCCAAGATTACTTATATTGCTATTGACTTGGCTCAGAAATACAGACATGTATACATATATATGCAGGATGAGTATCCCCTATCCAAAATGCTTAGAACCAGAAATGTTTTAGATTTGGGGATATTTGCATGCACATAGATCTTGGGGAGGTGACCCAAGCCTAAACATGAAATTCACTTATGTTTTGTATATACCTTATACACACAGACGGAAGATCATTTTACATAGTAGTTTTGAAGTTGTGATTTTCTACAGTTTCCCAGTGTACCTGCATTTTGACCGCAACCTGTCACATGAGGTCAGGTGAGGTATTTTCCGCTTGTGTGTCAGGTCGGCACGCAGAAGGTTTCGGATCAGTGCTCACTTCAGATTTCAGATGTTGGGTCGACATGTATACGAATGGCAGAACAGGGTACTCCGGAGCGGCCCCACTTGGCTCCTCAGCAGCCTGGCACCATGAGGCGCAGAGTGAAATACAAACAAGGCTTCATTCAGTCCCCAGGACTTCGCCTCATCCCAGCCAACAACTTCAGTTCGGATATTCATAATTTCACAGTGGGAATTTATATCACAAAGCAAATGCGTATTGTTTAGTGTAGCAGCAGTTCCCCCACAGAGCTCTGTGCCTGCAAGACACCAAGATGTCACCCTCCCGACTAGACCAGCGGTCACGCGGCAGCGCCAGAAGGTAGGAAGCTGGTGTTAGCTCAGGGCCCCCCCTTGGCGCCCTGGAGAGGACATCACCCTGACCCGACCCTTCGTTTTATAAACACTTGTTATCTCTGCAGGGTGCTCTGTTCCAAAGTCCAGTGAGGCCTTGAGCAAAACAGTCATCAGGTCACCACCTACATCCAGGGAAACCAGTATTTCCACTCTCTTCCCTTACTACCTAGGAGAAGGGAGGCCGCTATTATATAATTAAGTATCTAATTAAGTTCCCCTTACATTGTTTCATGGTCCTGAGACACTTAGGACAGTGACACAGGGCTCTGTGAAACCACAGCTGTCCCCAACAACTGAGATGAGGTGTGGGAGTGTGAGAAAATTTTTAAAAGATGGGATCTGGAAGTCAGGAAACCAGGTTCTGACCCTCCATTCTCCCAGAGCCTATTGCGAGGGTCAACTTTCTCATTTCTCTGGACCTTGGCTACCTCATTTATGAGATAGGGTTTAGGCTGAATTGTGTCTAAAGTGTCTTACAACTCTAAAATCCTGACATTAATACCCAAGCGATACAAAGATGAGTAAGACATATTCTTCACCCTCAGCGGCTCGTGCAGCTAAAATACGGAAAAGCCTAACAGTTCTGCCTGGCACTACCCCAGAAACAGTAGAAAATCTCTTTTGTCTCATTTTATTGAGAATCTATGACGCTATTGCCCATCTCAGTAGCCAAACTAAGAGCAGCATCATTTATTTACAAATGGAAAGCTCAGTTTAAGCAATTTCCTTTTCTTTGGCTATTATAACTCACTTCATCTCCGTAATATGAATGAGATGGTAGGTGGTTAAATAGAAAGGGACAAAATAAATGATGTTTCTACTTCTTGCCCCAAAACCAGGAAGCAAAGCATTTTTAGAAATTTGAGGCCAGAAAATGATTATAAAGTAAATTTATTTTTCATATATAGTCTAGTGACAACTTCTGTTGATAACTTAGTTTCCAAAGTCAGATGCTTTTTACATTCCATGGAACTAAAAGTAACAAGATTTTAGCTCCTTTCCCAAAAAAGGCTTTGTTCCCCCAAAATATTGTATATGTTCAGTTGCTCCTGGTCCTTGGAACTACTTAAATAGTGATTCCCTGAAAGCTCACGGGGCCACAAAATAAAAACTTGCAGTCTCAGCTGAAGTCTCCAAGTGGGACAGCTCTGTAAAGTGAGCACTGTAGAACAGGACAGACACAATCTGTAGGGAGAAGGAACAAGATCTGTTTCTCTAATATTCTTATTCCATCACCCCATTGGGGCCCTCCTGTCATTTAAACTTTTCAGTCCCACCCTTTCCTATGCCTCAGCTAAAAGACTATGAGAGATCATTTTTATCCTTTTGAGAACATTCACACACACAGTCCTGTGATCATTTCTGTGACAGAGGACAACGGAGTTTCAAGAGGGCAGTCCCGCTCTAGTGGCAGCTTTTTGTCACAAGATGAACATGGATAGCTCATGTCATTATGAGAAATTTCACACTTTGAAATTTTGTGCACCTCAATTTTCCCTAAAACTAGCCCATGGAACAGCCCAGATAGTAGAGAGCAATCATTTCTTTGTGGGGGGCAGGAGAGTGTCACATTCTGCAGTGGCCCAAATAAGTTTCATTTCTATGATTGCTTTCTTGAAGGAAACATTACCCAACCTCCACCACCTAACCCAAGTGCCCAACATTGTTTTGAAAGAAGAAAATCTTAATAAGGTAATTAAATATGAGGTGTATGAATCTGTTTCATAATCACAGAATAATAGCTAACATTTATTGGGTGCTTGTTGTATGCCAAGTCCTTCTAAGCTCTTAAACCTTTAAATCATTTAATCTTCAGTGCCACCCTATAAAAAGGTAATATTATTATCATCATTTTATAGATGAGGAAATAGAAACCAATAAAGTAATAAGTCCCCAGATCAAGTAGCAAAGCTTAGAT